TACGTATAATATCTCACATATCTATAGCTTTACATTTTAAAAATGCTTTGTATATATATTACCTTACTTGACCTTCAGTACAAGATGGAGAAACTGAGACTCAGAAATGTTGAGCATTTGCCCACAAGCACATAGATTAAGTGAGAGAACTGATGCTCTAATTCCAAATCCATGCTCTTTCCATTACACAATGATCCAAGTTGATTTATTAGCAGTGTATATGCCAGGACTCAAAGTGAAGTCTTTGAACTCAAAGTTTTATGCTCTGCCCGTCTTCTCATATTAAGAAGTAATTTTAGCTCCTTGCTTCTATAGCCAGATTTCAAAGTGAGTAGGGAGGCAGTAAATCTTAACGGTGTAAAAAGATGATATGAGAGTGGAGAAAGTGATCATCAAGGAATCCTTTATACCAGCACACCCACCTAGTTCCAGAGGCTCACAACCGTAGCAACATATTTGACTTCTATCTTTTCATTGCTTCCCATGCGCAATCCATCACCTAACTTTGCTAATTGTTTTCTTTTCTCGTAGATTTTCTCATTTTGCCTTTCTGCAAACACTCTGCTAAATCCAGCCTTCATCAATTTACTTCCTTCCAATTTATTTCAATAGACCTTAGCCTGTTTCCTTGCCCCTGGTCTCTTTCCTGCTTTTTATCCTTCATATATCCTTGAGGGCAACTGACCCTCTAGGTGAGTTAGGGGGATGTCTACTCCAAGCATGTGAAGGGGGGAATGAGTAGATGAAAACAATTTGTTCCAACAGCCAAGAAGTAGATTGAAGCAATTGCTTTGGATAGCTTAGAACTGGGCAGACTTCAAAGATTCCAAGGTCATCCACTATATCCTGGGTCATCACCAGTCACCTCGACTTTTGTTTTGCCATTAGACTTTGATGACTGGAAGAGAGAGGCTGATGACTTTGTGAAACTCCAATTCACCCAAAAGTCAAGACATCATCCTATGATGTCATTGGTCCTCTTAGAAAATAAAGAATGGGGGCAGCTAGGTGGATAGAGTATTGGCCCTGAAGTCAGGAGGACTTGAGTTCAAATATGACCTCAGATCAAACACCTGACACGCACTAGCTGTGTGACCATGGGCAAGTCACTTAGCCCCAGTTGCCTCAAAAAAAAGAGAGAGAGAAAGGAAGGAAGGAAGGAAGGAAGGAAGGAAGGAAGGAAGGAAGGAAGGAAGGAAGGAAGGAAGGAAGGAAGGAAGGAAGGAAGGAAGGAAGAAAGAACAACATCTTCAAAGATGCATATAGGCTGTATATGTGCATATTATACATGCATACACATGTGTATATGCACACGTAAGCAGCCTATATACACATGTGTATGCATATATAATATAAAATATATATTGAAATAGGAGATTAGCTTTCCTCAGACAAAACCTTTTCAGGACTCAATAAATAGGCCGGAATAGCGCATACATTGAATCAAAAATTTTCTAGACCTACTGCCATCGCTACTACAGAAAGAACTTTCTATACTTCTTCTTGGGCTCAAGGAAGATCAGCTTTATTTGTTATCATTCCCACTGATGATAATTCCTAAAGAACAGGTGTAATCACATAGCTCTTCTGCTCAAAAACCTCCAGTGGTTCCCTATTGCCTCTAAGATCACACAAACTCCTTTGTTAGCCATCAGAAGCTCCTCCCAATATTGTACCAGCTCACCTTCCCAGGTTTATTAAGTGTTACTTCCCCTCACTTACTCTACAATCTAGTCAAACTGACTTGCTCTTCCTCATACATGACCTTCTATCTCCTGCCCCCAAACCTAAAATGAGTTCCCTCCCTACCTTCACTTCTTAGGTTCTCCAGCTTCCTTCAAAGTTCAGCTCAAGCACCACCTTCTCCATGATGTCTTTTCTGATTCCCCAACTATTAATATTTTACTCCAATAATATTGTATTTACTTATATATGTCTTTGTATCTGGAGCATTTAGCACAGTGCCTAGAACCTAGTAGGTGCTTAATACATGCAGGCAACTGGTGGCACATTAGATAGAGCGCTAGGCCTGGAGGCAGGGAGGAGACCTGAGTTCGAATGTGAAATCAGATACTTTGCCTCTGTGTGATCCTGGGCAGGTCACTTGACCTCTGTCTCCCTTTGTTTCCTCAACTGTAAAATGAGGATAATAATAGCACCTACTTTGCAGGTGAGGATCAAATGAGATAATATTTGTAAAGTGCTTAACACAGTACCTGGCACATAGTAAATGCCATATTTAATAAATGCTTCTCTTTCTTTTCCCTTCCTCCTAGTAAATGCTTGTTGATTTTATGAACATATTGTTTCTAGAGAGAATGTAAGCTCCTTGAGGAAAAGCTCTGTTTCATTTTTGTCTTTCTATTACCAGTGCTTAGGATATTGCTTGGTGCTCAAAAAATGTTTGCTAATAGATTGACAATCCCATGCTCATTTCTACATCTGTGTTTACATATTACCTGCCCTATCTTCCATTCACATCTCTGATGATACCATGATTTCACTTATATTTATCTAAGAGCTTAGCTCGAAACTCACATTCACCTAGAAGAACTTTTTATAACCCTACTGCCTTTATCCATTTCACTCTGGAATGTTAACTACCAATTAGTCATTATTTTCATAGTTGATATGTATAAATCTGTTTTAGTGTATTAAATTACTAAACAGAGAATGACTCAACCTATATCTGAAACTGTTCCTGCTAGTTGCCATGTTTCTCCAACTCATGTTAATAAAATAAACTGTTATGATTTTATTTTCTGATTGTTTTACATTAGTCCTGTTCTTAATTCATTTAGCCAAATGGGGGGTGGGGGAAGAGAGAAGAAGAGAGAATCTCTCTTAAAGAAACAGTACACCTTGGTCTAGCCATTCCATATATTAAACTGTATTATAAAGCAGCAATCATCAAAACTACTTGGTACTGGCTAAGAAATAGAGTGGTGCATCAGTGGAATAGGTTAGGTATGCTAGACACAGTAGTCAATGACTATAGTAATTTACTATTGATAAACCCAAATACCCCAGCTTCTGGGATAAAAACTCACTATTTGACAAAAACTGCGGGGAAAACTGGAAAAGAGTATGGCAGAAACTAAGCATAGACCAAAATCTCACACCATATACCAAAATAAAGTCAAAATAGGTTCATGATTTAAATATAAAGGCTGATACTATAAGCAAACTGGGAGAGCAAGGAATAGTTTACCTGCCAGATTTATGGATAAATGTTATGTTATATTGTTTATGTTATGACCAAACAGGAGATAGAAAACATTATGAAATGCAAAGTGGATAATTTTGATTACATTAAATTGAAAAGGTTTTGCACAAACAAAGCCAATGCAACCAAGATTAGGAGGGAAGCAGAAAACTGGGAAAGAATTTTTACAACCAGTGTCTCTGATCAGGGCCTCATTTCTAAATTATATAGTGAACTAAGTCAAATTTATAAGAGTACAAGTCATTCCCCAATTGATAAATGGTCAAAGAATATGTACAGGCAGTTCTCAGATGAAGAAATTAAAGCCATCTATAGTCATATGAAAAGATGCTCTAAATCACTATTGATTAGAGAAATGCAAATCAAAACAACTCTGAGGTACCACATCACACCTATCAAATCAGCCAACATGACAAAACAGGAAAACGATAAAGGTTGGACAAGATATGGGAAAATCAGAACACTAATGCATTGTTAGTGGAGTTGTGAAATGATCCAACCATTTTGGAGAGCAATTTGGAACTATGCCCAAAGGGCTATAAAAGTGTTCATACCCTTTAACCCAGCAATAGCACTTCTAGGGCTATATCCCAAAGAGATCACAAAAATGGGAAAAGGACCCACATATATAAAAATATTTATAGCAGCTCTTTTTGTGGTGGCAAAGAATTGGAAATTGAGAGGAGGCCCATCAACTGAGGAATGGCTGAACAAGTTGTGGTAAATGAATGTAATGGAATATTATTGTGCTACAAGAAATGATGAGCAGGCTGACTTCAGAAAAATCTGGAAAGACTTGTATGGTCTGATGCTGAGTGAAGTGAGCAGAACCAGGAGAATGCTATACACAGTAACAACCATGCTGTTCGATGACTAACTTTGATAGACTTAGCCCTTCTCAGCAATGCAAGGATTTAAGACATCTCCAAAAGTCTTGGGAAATGCTATCCACATCCAGAGAAAGAACTATGGAGTTTGAATGCAGACTGAAGCATACTATTTGGTACTTTTTCCTTCTGTTTTGTTTTGTTTCCTTTCTTGTGGTTCCTCCTATTGGTTCTAATTCTTCCTAAAACATGACTAATGTGAAAACATGTTTAGTAGGAGTGTATATAGATAGCCTACATCAGATTGTGTGCCGTCTTGGGGAGGGATGTAGGGAGGGAGGGGGAGAAAAATTTGAAACTCAAAAGCTTATGGAAGTGATTGTTGGTAACTCAAAATAAATTAATAAAAAATAAATTAATTAAATTTTTTAAAAAAGAAACAATACACCTTTACTTTTAGTGCCAGAACATAGCATTACATTTCTACCACAACCTTACTACCTAATATCTCTGGGAACAGACCACTATGTAAAAAGCTATAGGTATAAAGATTGAAGTGTAATTATACATTAATGAGATTAATTTTGCCTTTCAGAAAGGGGGTGGGGGGAGGGAGACAGAGAGACAGAGAGAAACAGACAGAGAGACAGAGAAAGAGAGAGAGAGAGAGAGAGAGAGAGAGAGAGAGAGAGAGAGAGAGAGAGAGAGAGAGAGAGAGAGAGAAAGAGAGAGAGAGAGGGAGGGAGGGAGGGGAGGAATTGGGGTTGGGAAACTCTGCTGACGATGATGTTCATAATGATGCTGCCTCTGTTCAAAAGCTTGTATGATTCAGGGAAATACCTTTAAAACCAGTTAATAAACCAAACTGGAAGCTCAATATCTTGTTATTTTATAGAATAGTCAAATTTGGGTATGAACAACAACAACAAAAAAAAAATAAAACCTACCTTCAAAGATTTGCTGCTTGAAAGGATACCCCACAGGCTCTGAAAGTAATTCTTAGAAAAAGTAAAGTGAATAATGACATCATTAGGACAAATGTTTCCCAATGTGGCTTATCTTTAAGGCAATAATGCTCATTTGGATGTATGAGATCTAGTATATTTTCAAGAAACAGTCACATCAATGTATATCCATACCTCAGCAAAGAGATTTTACTGGATGCAACCATCTCTTTTAAAAATTATCTTATTTTTATTAATACTTTTTTTTCACCATGTGTATTTCTTAAATATCACCTTTCCCTCCACACACAGGGAATCATCCTCCATAGCAAAAAAAAAAAAAGTTCAGCAAAACCAAACACCACATCAACTGTCTCACAATGTATGAAATACTTCTCCATCTTATAATGTATTATATGTCTTACAAATATATCCATAGTCCCCCCTCCCCCAACAAAGAAGAGAGGGAAATGAATCTTTTCAGCTCTCCTCTGGGGTAAAGCCTAGTCATTATAATTTTGCATTCTGTTTCTGTTTGTTTTTTTTCTGTCCATTTATATTGTGATTGTGCATTGTTTTCTTTCTTTTACTTGCTTCATTGCCTCTGTTTCATATGTTTTCTATGCTTCTTTGACTTTTTCACCTTTCATCACTTCTTACAGCACAGTAATATTCCATGACATTCACATGTCACGATTGGTTTCCCACTCCTCAGCAGCAAGCATCTATTTTGTTTGCAGCTCTTTTATACCACAAAAAAAAAGCTTCTATAAACATTTTGCTGTATATGGGACCTTTCTATCTTTGACTTTCCTAGAATACATGTCTAGCAGTGGGAATTCCAGTGCTTAGCACAGTGTCTGCCACATAGTAGGTACTTAATAAATGCTAATTGATTGATTGATTGATTGAGCCAAAGGTTATGGACATTTTAATCACTTTTTAAAAGTACAATTCCAAATCAAAGCAGCCATCTTTAAAAGCTCCACCTCCATCAAAAAAACAAAACAAAACTCTGCTCATCCAGCAAGATAAAGCTTTGTTGAGGTAATTAACAACAGTTATTGGCACTCTTTCAAACATTTGTGAGCACAGTACTTGACATAAGTATTACTCTGATTTATTAGGAATTTGTTTTGTTATGATGCCTTGGGCCAATTTTTCTTCCTGTAGAAACATATCTCTGAAATTATGGAAATCAAAGGAAAAAATGATTTAACCTGCATTTCCAACAGTGCTTTTGTTCCACATCTGCATCACTTTTCAGATGCAGATTTCCATGGAAGGGGCTTTCAGCTGTTTCTTGTAAGTCGGTGACTGTGTGTTCAGTCTTCACAACTAGTCTATAAATTCTTCTAGGACAAGGATGCTGCCTTCTTGGTGCAGTGCTTTTTTTTCTTCGTTTGTTTTATTTTATTGGTTTTTTCTTTTTTTTTGACGTGTAACTTAGTGGCACAGTGGATAGAATGCCGGGCCTGGTATAAGAAATGCCAGAGTTCAAATCCATCCTCAGATATTTACCAGCTATGTGACTCTAGGCAGGTTGATTTACTTCTGTCTGCCTTAGTTTTCCTCATCTGTAAAATGGTGATAATAGCACCTATTTCTGAGGGTAGTTGTGAGAATAAAATGAAATAATATGTATAGAGTACTTTGCAAACATTAAACCAACACATAAATGCTATTATTATTGTTGTCATTATTATTATTACTTAAAACACATGAAATGTGCACATAACGAACATTGGTCTGTTGTGTTTTGAAAGTAGAGGAAGCCTATCCTTGAATTGAGGTAAACTGACATATGGGATTAGGATTCATATATGGGTTTCAACTGGCAAATTAAGGAGATGGGGATAGGTCATCTGTAGGCACTACCCCTTAGGCAAGAAATTAAAGCAGTGTTCACAACCTTTTTTCATTGCAAGACACATAATTAATTCCTACATTGCAATTCTTACATTTACCACACCACATGTGAGGAGACAGAAAAAATGCCAAGAGACCTGAGGCAGGCCTTCCTTTGAAAAAAAAAATTACATTCGGCTACGCAAGCAGAGATAGAAAATGAAGAAGACAGAAATAGGAGAGAGAGAGAGAGAGAGAGAGAGAGAGAGAGAGAGAGAGAGAGAGAGAGAGAGAGAGAGAGAGAAAATGTAAGAATTATAACTGTGAATTGTACAAGAGGTAAGTTAACTCTTTTTGGAACAATGACTGCTCCAAACCCTTTGTTTTATTCTTTCATCCCCAACTAAACCATGCTCCTCAGTTTCCTAACTGATAATTGATAACTTGCCCTCCTAACTTACTAAAAAGAATGAGGACATCCAACAGGAATTGTTACTCAATTCTTCTCAGTATCATCACTTTCAATGTCCTCTTTTCTAATCATGAAAAAAAAATCTAACTGTTCGCTAAGACCAATTTCCATTCCCAATTAATCAATTTCCTCTAGCAGTTATGCTTTGATTTCATACACCTTCAACCTCTCTCTTTCTATCTATCTACAAACACCCTCAGATTTCACTAAACCTAAAAAAAAAAGAGTCTTTCCTTGATACCTGAACCATGTTCAGTTTCCTACATCCTACATAATTCATTTAAATTCTTGAAAAAGTTGTCTTTGTGCAACATCCTACTATTCTAGAAAGAAATTTAGAATTAATCTGTGAAAGTAGCCTGAAACCTAGAAATTCCACTGCTAAGCATATACCACAAGAAGGTTAATGATACAAAGAAAGGTCCCAAATAGAAAAAAAAACCTGCAACAGCACTTTTTTTTTGGTAGTAACAAAAGATGGGAAACAAAATGGATTCCCATCAACTGAGGAATGCCTTAAAAAAATCCATGATACATGAATGTAATAGAACATACTATTTTATAAGAAATGATTAATATAATGAACATAGAGAAGTGTGAGAAGAGCTACATGAAATGATAAAAATGAGTTAAGTAGAAGTAGGAGATGGAGGTATATGATGATGACTACAGAGAAAAACAATAAAACAATGAAAAGAAAATTCTGTTAAATTATAATGACCAAGCTTGGCCTGAAAAAAAAAAAAGAGATATAAGAAGGCACCTCCCACTCTTCTTTGCAGAGGATACTATGGGTATGGAACACTATAGATAATATCAGAGTTTTTGATGTGTTGGCTAGTTTTACTGTACTGTTTTTTCCTTCTATGTTTATTATTTATTATAAAAGATGGCTCTCTGGAATAGAGTTGGGGTGGTGATGCATTGGTAAATGTACATGATATAAAAACAAAACATATAAATGCATTATCAATTAATTGTATAGAGGAATGATGTGCTGCTTTGACATGGGTTGCTTGAGATGAGAAATATCCTTTCATACTTCCAGAAAGTTGGCAAACTGAGAGAATCTTCTTTCACCTCAAACAGCTAGGAATATGTCAAATAAATTCCAAATAAATAATATAAACAAATAAAAATAAGTAAAATGTAAGATATATAAATAAACAAATAAATGAAATATAAGAAGGAAGAAATTTCCATAAGGATATACACACACACACACACACACACACACACACACACACACATGCAGCCAGCAGAGAGACTAGAGGCTAGTTCCTAATGTAATGAATAAATACTATTAGGTAAGAAAATGCCAGGAAAAATCCCAAATGAAGAGAATAATTCTAAAATAACTACAAACAGCAGAAAAAACCTGAAATTTCCACAAAATTTTATAAGATGGCTTAAAGGCTTAAAAAATAACTGAAGGAAGAAATAGAGTCAAACTATAGCATGTACAGAAAAACAAAAGAATGAATAGCTTAGAAGTTAGAAATTCTTAGCAAAGTAGGGATCTGATAAACCAAAACATTTAATGTTATGACAAAAATTATTAAAGTACAATCAAAAAGGATAAAAATTAGATGTGAGATTCCTTTAAAAAATTACAATTTTAATTAAAATAAGGCTCAAAAAAGCTCTAGGAATCACTGACATTCAAGAAAAAACATGAAGAAACAAACAAAAAAAGTCAATATTATATGTTGGGAAATCATAGAAGAAAATTTCCAGAAGTATTGGAACCAAAATATAATGTGCAAGTCAACAGATTCTATTTGATGCAACCAAAGAAGAACCTGATATTTAACTCACCCAGAAATACTATGGTCATGTTCCAATGTCCCCAGCTAAAAGACAAAAAAACATATTGTAAGTGGTCAGAAATAGACATATCTTGTGCCAAGGAACTCAATGCAGAAATGTACAGGACTGTTCACTGGGGGAAATGAAAGAAAATGCTACAATATGATATATCAAAAAGCAAAGAAAATAGTTCACAAAAATAATGACAACAACAGCTGGCATTTATATTGAGCTTTAAAGGATTTGCAAAGAGCTTTTCATGAATTGTATAACTTATCCTGCAACATTGAACATAATGCTACAGAACAAAAAGAGTTTTGATGACTTTCAAGTGTTCCTTTTAAGAAAGTCATATCTGAGCAATCTTTGAAATATAAGCACAATGAGAAAAAGAGATTTGAGAAAGGTAGAAAAGTATTGAATGGCTCAAAATTCAGTCAACAAACATTTATTAAGTACCTACTATGTGCCAGGCACTGCGCTAAACACTAGAGATATAGAAAAAGGGAAAAGACAGCCCCTGCCCTTGAGGAGCTCACAATGTAATGGGAGAGATAACAAGCAAAGATGTACAAACAAGTTACTACATGATAAGTAGGAAATAATTTATAGAAGGAAGGCACAGAATTAAGAAGGCACAGAAAGACTTCCTGTAGAAAGTAGGATTTTATTTGGAACTTGAAGGAAACCAGGGAAGCCAGGAAGACAGGCTCAAAAATACTAGATGATGACAGTATTGTGTACATAGTGAAAAGACCATTATCCCTTAGAAGTAGGAGAATGTCTGGGAATCGAGGAAATTGTCATGTTCTGGGCTTGGATGTTCAAAAAATGAGTATCCTAGCAAAGGACAGAAGAGGGGAAGAAAGGGACTTTCAATTTTTCATCAAGTGCAGATAGGTGCATTCTTATAATCTTAGTTATTATCTCCAAATGAAGTAACATTTGTAAAGCACTTAGCACAGTATCTGATGCATAATAGGTGCATAATAAATGCTTATTCCCTTCCTTTCTTCCCACCTTCCTACTTATGTTGGGTATCAACTCCTTATTAGCCACATATCATTAATAATGGGAACATTTAGGGAACCTCATTGGGAATTTATAAGCAATTACCCTTCCATTTGGACTCTAAACAACATATCCTATGGAACATGGAGATTGTAACCATCACTATATATACCCCTGTTATACTTTTTGCTTTATATCGATAATAAGAAGTTCATTGAACAAAGATATCTCTGGTTACATTCATCAAGGAATTTTTATGATCTTAAAATACGTATAGGAAAAACCTTGTTGAAGGATTTGTTTTTTGCAAATTAGCAATTTGCTCTACTAAATCAAATAAATCATAAAATCATAAAACAAGAACAACCAATATGGTGAGATTTTGTGTGCTCCATACTTTTCAATTATCTGTGTGTAGCTGAAAATGTGTCCTGCTAGAGCAACTCGTCTATGAAAGCCTGCCTAGTCTATTTTAATATTTTTATCAGATAATTTTGAAACATATTTAGATCTTTTTTGTATTGATTTTATAGAGAGGGGAAAATATCCATATGGGTTGATAGTTGCTAAAGTCTTCTCAGTTCCTTTTTTTTTGAGGGAGGAGGAATAGAGATAGTAATACTGTGATTTTTCCATTAGTTTGCTATTTCTCTTTGAGATATCTTTAAGATCAGCTGAGTATGGAGATATATGCCTGTAATTCCATCTAGCTGAGACAGGTAGACCTCTTGAGCTCAGGAGTCCCTAGCTGTGGTAGGCTAAGCTGATCTGCACTAAGTTCAGCTTTAATATGATGAGTTTCTGGGATTGAGGAACCCCCAAGTTGGAAATGGAACAGGTCAAGTTCCTATGTGGCTCAGACTGGGCCTGGGCTTATGAGTATACCCTGCACTTTCAGCCTGGATGACATAGGGATACCCAGGCTTATGAAAAACCATTTTCCCCCCAAATCATTTCCTGAGTGCCTTTAAAACCCTGTTGCCTCTAGCATGTATTTCTTCTGAATTTTAAGTTCATCTATTCTTCCAAAATTAATCTTAAGTCCACTTCCTCCCCTCGCTCTATTTTCCAAGCATTTCCTCTTTACTTTTTCATGTCTATCACTTTTTGCTGTTTTGTAAAGCAAAATTGCTCTTAATATCCCATCGTTCTTCTCTTTGTGAATGATCTTGCATTCTTAAATGTTGTTATCTCTGCCACATCTCTTTAACATGAAAGAAAATTGTATTCATTGGAAGAGATGATTTCTGCTCTCCTTGTGCCTCCTCATGATAATCAGATTAAATATCATTACATTTATGCACTTTCCATTTTTTAGAGTATGCAGCAAATTTGAAAAAGTTGGGTTAGAGCTGTTGTAATTGCATGCAGTATCATCTCATCTTTACCCTTTCTTCTAATTTGGTACTGTCTTTGACTTTTGCTGTAATTTAATTAATAGTCTGATTATGCATCAATAATTAATTCAGAAACGACTCCTACAGCACTAACTTGTATTTCCTGTTTACATTTATGTATATATGTATATGTGAGAAAAATAGTATAATATTCCATGTTTCCCATGTTCCCCATGTTCAATGTCTTCTCTCTACTTTATTCAGGATATATAAGAGCGAGACTTTTGAGAAGATTCTGGACTTTGGTCTCTTTAATTTCTTAATCCCATATTATATATTTTTAAAATGTATTCATCTTGTTCTTTTGGACTGAAGTCACAGGAGGCCAAATTATATGTTGATTTGGATGAAAGTAGACAAGTGAATTGAGAGGAGCATCCCATGGAGAATGCTGGGTTGTCACATTTAAACTTTGGGCCACATGTGACTCTGGGCTGCAAGGCTTTTACTTTGACATGATGAAGAGCCCTCTTATTGGCTACAGACCTAGAAGAGTTGATGCCTCGGTGGATAAATGAAAGGGAGAAACAATCCCCTCTCTCTTTCTAGCTACAAATTGTTTAAGCACCGTTACTTCTTGAGAGTGGTAAGAGAAGGGACTTATTGCCCTAATTCCCAAGTCTAGACTCTCTGGGGCTAAGAACATATGGTACTAAATCTAACGATGTCTTGCCTAGGTAAACCTAAGTCTGGGTATGGACTGCTTCTTTTTTGATGCTTTTTTCCTGATCTTAGCATATGTACCCCAAGAGTATGTGTCCATGCTTGGAGGTCACCATGTAAATGCAAGAGGTCCAAAGGTCCTGGGTCTCATGGCACAGCTGAATGGTGTCAAATTACTCCAGAGCTCTTGGAGAAATATTTAGCATTATTTTTGTGTGTAGCACTAAGTTATCTATTTAATATCTGATTCATATTATAAATGGTATCTTTTTTACTCCTCTTTTTTGGGGAAAACTCTAGAAGTGAGTCATAACCTAAGCCAGTGCTTCCCATTTAGTGGTTTGCAAACTCCTGTCTAAGGATTTGGGCTAAAAATTCTTTAATGATTCCTAAATCAGGAAATAATTGCTCAGCTACATTACAATCAAGACATGAAAACTACATTTACAAGCCTGTTTTTTTTTAAGTAGAAAGAACAATATTTGAAAACAATGCTTATTCATTTGTTTCTTAAGTAGAAAAACTTTTGAAGCTTCATATTTGGTAAGTTATCAAATTGCTTAATAAAATGGGAAAGCTTATACTGTTGCAGAAAAATTAACTTTGCCCTATGCCAAAGCAATTGTCAAATGTATTTTTAGAGATGAGTATTTAAGAGATTTCAGAATTTAGAGATGATACCCATTTCTAACAATACAGTACCTCATTAGATAAATTCTGTCTGATGATTCTGAATCAATAATTGAAGAATTAACAAAAGTGACAATTGCATTTTGCAAGTATATGAAACAACTTATGTTTGTAATCTAGCTATTTTGATTGTACTTATAAGATATGTACATGAAAGTGGGAAAGAATATGCTATTTTGTCATCAGTTAATAGGACATACAAGTGGGGAAGACAATTTTATTTTAATTAACTACTTTGAAGAAAAACAAAATAATTGGTCTTCTTGTGGAATTTGCATAGATGTAATAAAATCTATAAGTGGACAATCTGGAAGCATTGTTTTGCATATTAAATTTAAACACGAACATGAATATAGCATAGACATACAGCAACATGCACAAACAAGTTTTGGCAGCAATAAGAATGCAATAGCAACTTTTTTTTTTTGCTTTTTGGTGAGGCAATCAGGGTTAGGTGACTTGCCCAGGGTCACACAGCTAGTAAGTAAGTGTTAACTCAGATCCTCCTGACTGCAAGGCTAGAGCTCTATGCACTGTGCCATTCAGCTGCCCCCATAACAACTTAGAAGTGTGTTAGGTGTTACTATCAAAATAATTTATTTTATTAAAAGTCAAGACCTAATCTCAATTGTTTACTATTTTATACAGAAAGAGCATTTCTACTTCTCATACCCAGAGATGTTAAGTGGCTTTCTTGCTGCAGAGTTATTACCTGTCTATTTGAATTGAGAAAAGACAGTTGTTTTCTTCACTGATTATCCTTTTCACCAGCATGAACGTACATATAATATGACATGCCTTCAAAGATTAGCATATACATCATACATCTTTTTATACATTAATGAACTCAATTTATAATTACAGGGTGAGAACACAATGATGTTCAAAGTTCAAGAAAAATAAAAAGCATGATTAAGGAAGAATTTTGGACCACACAACTGAAAATAATACTGAGTGTTTTGTGATGTTATGTAATTTCTTAACAGAAAATGAGCTATCTTTGGATCAGGTTGTCAAGAAAGACACCAGCGACTGATTTTTTTAGAAATGACTTGTAATGAATATTTTCCTGAAATTTCTAATAAATTAAATTGGATTCACAATCTATTTGATATATCTTTTACGACCATGGCTAATGCATTGACAATAGGTGAAAAAGAACATTTAATTGTCATATCAATGGATTTTGAACTACAGATATTAAAAAATGGCAGTCATAAGTTTTGGCTAATGATAAAAAGTGAATTTCTATCTCTCAGCAATAGGATTTGTAAAATTGTCAAACCGTTTTCCACCACCTATGTGTGTGAGTAAATATTTTCATTTTCTTCTTTTAAATCACAATATAGCAATAAACTCAATGCAGAACCAAATGTAAGATTGTGCTTGTCTGGTGTTAACTCACATATTACAAACCTTTACTTAACAAAAAAAGCTCAATATCAAAATTAAATGTATATATGATTATTATATTATGTTAAAAATATTCCAAGTCATAACTTATGTTATTTAAAATGTTATTTATATTTAGCAAACTTCATAAGATAAAGAAACTTGATATGAAATCTTGTAGATTACTGTAAGCATATGAAGTCTTGTTGGATTACTTCCTTTAATTCTTACAGAATTTCTCACATGAGATAGTCATAGTTATTTTTTGTAATTTCATGTTCAGAGTTTTCACAACTATAGGTAGAACAAAATTTTATATTTTATAATCATATAAAGTAAATTTTGATTCTGAGCTTTTGGGGGGCAAAAGTTATTATCAGTTATTAAAATCATTCAATAAATAAACAAACAAATAAATAAATAAATAAACGAATGAATGAATAAATAGATATGAGAGATATATTGTTATTCTGGTGGATCACAAAGCTTTTTTTGGTGCTGTTGAAAGGGGTTCTTGGAACAAAAAACAGTAGGAAACATTGATCTAAACTATAGTATATGTAATTTTTTTTTTCCCTGGGGCCCTAGGGTAAGGCTTTAATGAGCCAAAGAGTGTGAGAACAGGGAGCCTAGTTCCCCTTTCATTAGAGGCTAGGATTTCCAGGCCTGACTGCAGTCCTAACCACATACCTGAATATGTTGTCGCATATGCTTCAATCATCTTCATGATAATCTCTTTGTTTACATTCATCATGAACACTGGAAGGCAAGATAACCAAATATCTCATGAAATTACATTTTTCGTTGCCTTTCTATACGTAATAAAACTGACACTACCAACTCTTTTATTTGTTTCTTCAAGTAGAATCTATGATCTTTTCCTTCCCTTAATCTACAGTTTCTTAATGGTTTCTGACATCAGTCTAATAGTTCTATTCATATAGCAAGAATGTCTACTTTGATATGTTTCAGTACCACCAGGAGTACATTAACTCATTTATCCCTGGAAAAAATCTCACATTTGGAACAACAAAAGTTATTTTAATGTTGTAGGTGATCTAAAACAGTGATTTCTTAACACTCTCCCTTTTTACCCTCTCAGTCACCATTACAGAAGAAGGAGAAGGACACTACACAAGATTGAAGGCTATTTTGTACTTTGTTTAATGAGACGCTATAGCCAAATATTTCATCAGTTAGTGATTATAAGCTGAAACTCAACATATCCTAAGCAACCTCGTTACTTCCCCTCTAAACCTATTCATCCTTCTGCCTGCCCTATTTCTACCTCAGGCACTATCATTCCCCCATGTCTCCCACGTTCAAAACCTTGGAGTTATCTTCTACTTTTCTCAGTTTCTCATCTTTCAAATCCAATCAGTTATTGAGTCCTGTCAAATTTACCTCTTTCACAATTCTCAGAAATTTCCCCTCCTCCATATTCCCAATGGGCCCTCATGATCACACTCCTGGATTTTTGCAATAGCCTCCCTCATTGGTCCTCCTGCCTCCACTTTCTCCCCCTTTCTATTTTATCCTTCATACTGATGCCAGAATAATTTTTCTTATGTACAGATCTGATCATGTCCCTGTTCTGCTTTAAAAAAAGGCAAAACTCAACAATTTTCCTTGGCTCATGCTTACCCAAACAGTAAAAGTTAAATACCTCCCTTGGGTCCCACAATGTGACCCTCAATCTGACAATACTTTACCTTCCAGACTCATACTAATCTCATCTATACAATCTATGCTACAGCTGAAGTGGAGCATTAGACTGGCCCTCTCAACATGCAGCATGTTCATGGCTCTCTGCCAATATTTACCCTATTCCTCCTACCTGGAATGTCTTCTCTTTCCTCCTCTGTTGAGTTGGACTTGTAATTTGTCCTTTAAATCTCAACTTAACCACCATGCTTCTGCATGATACACCCTCCCACACTGGTAAGCTTCTCTTCCCACTGACATGAGACTTTTATTTCACAGCTCTAACAAATAATACATAAAGTGTGTTGTACTTAGCTGTGCTAGTGGTTGAAGCCCCTACTAAATAATGAGCTCTTTTAGGGTGAGGATTCGATTTTACATAAACTTTGAATGTCTCTTAATACTTAGCTACAATGCTTTGCATGTTAGATTTCTAACAAATTGTTTTTGATGTGGAAAGTCTGGCTTGGTACAAGATTACCAATTCTGAGAGGTCTGGGGCAGTACTTTTATCCTTGTAGGGAATTCCTGTTAGCATTGCTAATCATTACCTTCTCTACAACCTACGGTTTCACAGAGTTATTTGGGAGGCGCTAAGAGGTTAAGTGATTTTCCCGTGGTCACACAGCTACTATGTGTAGCTTCAAAGGAAGGAAAGACATGAATCCAAGTTTTCCTGACTCCAAGTCTATGGGATCTCATTGTACATTGAGGACCTACTGTGTGAAAAGTATTGTGCTAGGCACTGTTGTGGAGAGAAAGGGTAGAAGGACAAAGTTGTAGAGATAGTTTCTTCCTTTAAGATGTTTACACTGTAGTTGGGGAGACCATACATAAACACTCCCCAAAAGCTAAATAATAATCTAGTAATGGGCAATTTTAAAAGCTAACAGATTTGTCTGGGAAGGAATGGCGAAGATAAATAAGCTAGACCTTGAACACTGAGTTGAATTTAAGATGGAAGAATGTGAACAAAAAAGAAAAAAAGTATTTTTTAGATGAAGAGTTTGCCAGTTTGGCTTAAATGGAAGGTTAATGTTAGAGATATGACTATAAAGGTGGATTGGAGAGACCTAATAAAGGACCTTGAATTTAACAATAAGTTTGAACTTCTATGAATAATGAAGAATTAGTTATCATTTTTTTTAAGCAAAGCAGTGACATATTGGGAACAATGTTGTAAGAAAATCGATGTAATTGATTTTAGGCCTATATGAGTTTTCAAACTAGAAGGGAATTTAATGGTCATGTAATCTAAACCTCATATTTTACAAATGAGAAAACAGACCCAAAGAGGTAAAACAATTTCTACAATCTGCTGGGATTTGAATCCAGATTCTCTGAGGCTAAAGTCAGAGATCTTCCAAACTTCCCTTACTGTTGAGGGTACCAACATGCTATTTACCCACATTTGACAACCCGACTGTCATACTTAAGTCCTCAGTCCCCTCATCTCATATATCCAATTATTTGCTAAATACCGTAATTTCTTCCTCTATAACATCTCTTGTATGTATCCCCTTTTCTCTCCACTCACAAAGCAACCATTCTTGCAGAGGCCTTTATCACCTCTCTCCTAATCTATTCCTATTCTGCTCCTAATCATTCTCTTTACCTTCAATCTCTCTTCTCTCCAGTCCATTATCCATACAGCTGTCAAAGGGATTTTCTTAAAGCACAGGTCTGATTACATCAATCCCCTTCCCCCTGAAAGTCCAGTGGTTCCTTATTACCTCCAGAGTCAAATATAAAGTCATCTGTTTGGCATTTAAAGCTCTTGATAACCTGGGTCCTTCTTACCTTTCCAGTCTTGACTCTTCTCCCGCCACTCCATGATCCCAGCCAGGCTAGATATTTCTAGTCTCTGTGCCTTTGCACTGGCTGTAGTGTACACTCACTTCTCACCTCTGCCTCTAGGAACCCCTCCAGACTCAGGTGAAGGGCCCTTTATTCAGGAAAACTTCTGGGTTCCTTCCAATGGATAGTGCCTTCCCCTTTAATGTACTTTGAATTTTATACAGAATATTCCAAAAGCCTTAGGGTAAGAGCTTAGTCTTAAAGTCTCTTTCATTAGATTCAAACTCCTTGAAGGAAGAGATGTTTCTTTTTTTTGTCACTGGTGACATAGTGGTTGGCACAGAGGAAGACCTTTAAAAATTCTGGTTGATTGATTATACTCCCCCTTTGGTTAAATGAACTGTATGTATACTGGATAAGATTCACTGCACCAAACAAAGGGGATGATTTTGGCTCTCCAGAAAAGATCCTATCTCATTCCACCTTATCCCACTTGAAATACTTCCTCTATGTGAGGACATTATAAAGAGAATGAGCACTTTTGATCTTTCTTAAACTGACACAGAAATATAATACATGTAAACATTCTATTCACTTGTAAGTTTGAAGTATAGGCTAAAACTGAAGTAAATTTGGAAATATTCAACAGGTTTAATCAAAACATTGTCCAAAAATTGCCTATAGTAAACATAGTACTCAGTAGGACCAAGCTTTGAGAGAGAAACAAAAACAACACAGTTATTGATTCTTATGACTGGAATCAAATTTATGGTTATTTATTCTAAGGCTAAATAAAGTTTTCTCCATATAATGTCTAACTAAAATATTCATTGCTTTTAAATGCAAGGAAAAAAGGATTAAAGAGAGAGAAGTTTATGGTTACAAGCCACCAAAATAATTTCAGGCAGATTTTATGAAGCAAAATGTGATAAAAATAATAAAGAAAAAACGCATATCTGGAAACAGCTCAAAACCCTTTTTTAGATAACCCAACTGGAAAAGTAAGCTTTTGCAAAGGAGTAATACCTTATTTTTAACATTTATAGGAAAATGAAGGGCATAGGAACATCAACAGTTAGTTTTAACATTCATGTTCATTCTTCCCAGTGACTCCAAAGAGACAAACCTTCTGAGTGGCAAAAATATTTTTTCCTAAAATAATTTAATAAAAAATCTTTCATTAGAAACCCTAAGCCATCATAATGTAATAAATACTTTCAATAGAGCTGTTTTAAATAGCACATCTGAGCCAAGGTACTTCGGTTTATTGTTTTCAATGACACTTCAAGGAAAGAAATATCACAAATAAACATTTGAATTCAAACCAAAACCACTTAAGCTTTCACCTTCCTTTGTTTATTTACACAGTGTTGCTATCTTGCTGTGCTGGTCCCCTCTGCTCTTTAGAACATTATACTGACTTTTCATTTGTTGAAAATGCAGCTCTGCATGAGATACAACAGGCTAACCATCCAAATTACATAAGCAAAACACAAAGACTAACTTTTAAAAAATACATAAATCAAATCAAGGTTACAAAAGCAAAGTCTAAATTTCCTTTTTTTGGTTTCTTCTTTAGGGCCAAGATATACTACATGATTCCATTGTGCTTTGGGAGAGGAAGGATTAAAAAGTCAAAGTGGACAAGAGGCAAAAAAAGGGGGGGAGGGGAAGGACAACTATAAACTTGTTTCAGAAGAAATGAAAATGTTCCAGAGACTACTCTCTAGCAATAACCCTCTTTTCCTTTAATTCCTGCTTCCCCTCTTATTTGTATGTTGTCTCTCATTAGAATGTGAGCTCCTTGCAGACATGGGCTGTATTTTTGTCTTTATTGTATCATATCCCTACTGCTTAGGACAGTAATCGCTTCTTACTGATTATGTGACTGGCATAGGGGAAGTCTGGGGCTCACTCCTTGCCTTTGTCTTGTACTGGTTTGGAATTGGGCACATCTCCTAATGGCCAGGAGTGGGGAACCTGCAGCCTGGAGGCCACATATTGCCCCCTAGGTTCTTAGTGAGGTCTTTTGACTGAGTCCAAATTTTACAGAACAAATCCTTTCATTAAGAGGATTTGTTTAAAAAAAAAAAAGAGGATTTATTCTGTGAAGTTTGGACTCAGTCAAAGGGCCACACTTGAGGACCTAGAGAGCCACATATGGTCTCGAGGCCGCAGGTTCCCCATCCCTGTCCTAACCTCTCAGTGTCTTCATGTAGCTCTCTAAGACTGTAAATTACAGGATAGGTATCAATCTA